TAAAAGCTCTTGCATTTTCAAATATTCGGCATCTCTCCTTTCAGTATCTTAAGACATGCCATGGGCATCTGCAATGATAGCAGAGGGCACATTATGGTCAGTCCTCCACAGGTTTGTCCTACCTGTGGTGCCTCTCTTGCTGGTTTCATTTCTTGACTGCAGCCTAACTGAAACAGAAAGTCAGGGAGTGTTTTTGCCTCTTTCTGTAAGTGTTGCTATAACCCCTCCCAGACCACAAATGCTAAGTCATTTGGTGTCTCAGGTTCTTTGTCCATATAGCTCTGAACATGTGGCAGGACCTTCTGAAGCTCTTTTCTGATGGTGACACACATCATAGATCTCATGATCTACATTGGCCAAAACTGCAGAGGCATGGGTAGCCTCTAGAATCATGGTTGAGTGATATGGTTTTGTCGAAGGCTCTTTATGTCATGGCAGCATTTCTTGAAAGCAATAATGCTGTCCTGGTCCTGAGATGAGTACAAGACCTTCTCAGTTCCCTTCATGAGATGGGCCACTTTCTCATCTTCAAGCATGGAGGGGTTTGCTTTTCGGCATAGAGCAAGTACGTCTTAAATGTAAGCTTCAGACATCTCATCAATTTGCTGCACTTATGTGAGTAGCAGTCTTTCAGCTGGGCACTTTACATCAGTTGCATGGCAAAATGTGTTTTTAAGAGCATTTCTGAAAACAGCCCAACTAGTAAATGTGTCTTCATTATTACTAAACCACTGTTGAGCGGTTCTTGTGAGATAAAAATAACATTCACCAGCCGCATTTGTTCATTCCAGGATTTGATCAAAGTCCTTGAGCCATCTTTTGGTATCTTGTTGGTTGTCCTCAGTGAACATACACGGTCTTCTGGGTAGTTTGTAAGTCAGGATCAGTACTGGTACTATATTACTCAAAGTGAAGGTAGCTTCTGCTTGGCCTCCTTCCCATCAACTACCTTCCTCAATGAACTACCTACTTGAATCCTGCAAGAGCCCAAACTCAAGTCCTTGAACACATAGGCTTTGGCATAACTCTTAAGTAGCAATTCATTTACCCGGCACCTCTACCAAACTGTTACGTAGATGAAGTGATCATACAAATGAAGAGAAAGTACTCAAGTCAAAACTTTATTATTCGAACTGAATCAGTATCCACTTATACACACTTGATGAACGAGATGGAACTTTCTAGACTTAGAACATTCTAGAAAATGGTGAACAATCTCCAATAAATGGAACATAAAGGAAATAAATTAATGGAAAGAAAATTTAAACAACAGCCAGTTTTCAGGTGATTTGCCTTTGATGGATTTCGAACTCTGGACTTTCTATTTCCGAATCTGATTGTCTTACCTATTGAGCCACAATGTGCTCTGTCAAAAGGAACAAGGAACAATTTTTGCTACAATATTATTAGTTCTTCCTCTGTAGATTTATCAGTTGACACATTCAAAAAATGCTAACGCAACTACAATCTAAAATTTCAACAATAACCTTTTTATGCATAATATTTGCAATATGAGAAGTAAACTGCCTGCATTGTTTGTTATTTTGATATACCCTGAGAGCAAAGCCTACTTCAAATTTATTAATCAGCGTAACTAAATTTTTTAAATCAGAAAATAGCTTATTGTGTTTTGCAATACAAAAAGCTGTGTTAAATTGTTTTTCTAATGCTGAAATAGTCTTTCATCCATTTTTCTTAGGCACACTGCTAATGGTGTAGACTAGAGTTTCTACAGTTATAGCTTTCAACAGATCGTGCAACATGAAAGTTTCTGACTTAAATGGCTCACTGAAAACTTGTATAGAAAACTTGTATAACCTGCAAGTATTAATATGGTATTTCTGGATATTTTTCGTACACTCTGCACTGAACTTCACCATTTTCATACTGAAACCACCGAAATTCTTTGAACCACTATTTTCACTCTTTTTAACATTATCTCAATCGATTATATATCACAGTATATAATCTTTCTTTATGCTCACTTCTTTCATGTAGCCTAGTCTGTTCAGATTATTCATGGTCACATTGCACAGAAAACTCACATGACAAATCCCCGCCTTTTTTTAAATAACAGAATACTTTTTTGATTTTTCAAGACCATTATGGCCTTGAGAAATTAAAAAATATTATGCAATTTCATGAAATCATGTTTATAACAACGGGATCAGTGAGCTACCACATGGTATTCTACTCACAATCACCATGTTGGAAATATCACATACATATATATATATTTCAACATTAGTTTCATGCAATGAAATAAGCACCCATAATTGCAATAAATGGCTACTGTAGGATTGAGTAAGATATTTTAGAATTTCATTAGATACTTCACAGTCATGTGTAATCGGCAGGAAACAGTGGAACGCAAATGTCAAAGTGGCCTTAATTTTTCTTGTGTTTCCATTAATTGCTTGCACTGACAAAGGGCAACCAAAATGCACCTTGAAAATCTCTCAGGCAAAGCTTAAACAGTGGACAGATTGCAAAAGCATTTTATGTGATGATGAACCATAAATCATGTAATATAAATGTTTATTTTATATTCAAAGACAGAAAGTATGGCATGAGTATAATTGGAGCACAGCCTGTTACCAAAAATTTCATGAAAATAAATTGTGGGAAGTATTAATCATACATTTCCAAGGTTATCATATTCCACAAGCCAACTGCAATTTCTAAGCCCAGATGATGAGAGCCATGAGGCTTTATGATAACGCAAGTAAAAAGCAAAATTTTTGGATTAGTAAAATGTGCAAAGAAAGCTAAATAAAGATGTTATAACTTAAGTGTTCCATTTTGATGCCAGAGCCCAGTCATCAATCAATCAATGAACTGCAAAACTAATATGATTTTGAATCAAAAAAATATCACCATTTGGATGCTGAACCACAATTTAATTTCATGAGATGGTTATTTAAATGCACCCTTTGTGTAGAATGGTATACTATTTTTTCTGAAGAAATGGGGTTGCTGGTTTATCTTTTCACAAATTACAAATTGTAAAAAAAAAAAAAAAAACCTCTTTGGTGAAACATTAAAATCTTTTTTTTTTTTTTTTTTTTTTTTTTTTTTATAAATATAGAAAGCACAGAAAATCTGAGGGATTTGGATTTTAATGTCACACCAGAAGGTTTTGTTAAAATGTTTTATGCTCTCATTTGGTTCGCAGTTTATCTGTCTGCTCTAGGACTTAGTCCTTGCTGATGTAACTTTTTGCCTTTTTAACTTTATTATATTAAACATCACATACTTATGCCATATAAAAATAAACAGGAAAGTCATAGAGTTTTTAAAGACAACATATTTTTAGAATTCACAGTACAGTGTTAAGTGTCAGCATACATTTTTTAGCCTAGAAGGTTATTATTCTCAAACCTCACTTTTACATTAAATAATTTTTGTTAATTTTCGTTTTTCAAATAACTAGTTGCTTGTGCTAGTGTGTGTGTGTGATTAAAAAAGGTTTGTTACTTTTAAATTGCCAGTGTTATTAGTAAATATCACTGGCAGATTAAACTTAAAAGAAAAAATAAATATCTTACACTTTGCCAAATGGTAACAAACCAGCACATGGAGGTTAAAAGTTTTTATTTCAAATAACTTTAGAATTCCGAATAAAGTACTAATTATTGCCAATTTATTTTATTTGTTTTGCATTCATTATATTATTTCTTTAAAAATAATACATGAGGTGGTGGCGACATCTTTTTATTTGTGTTGCCAAACTTTTTTTTTTTATATTTGCTGTATTATTTCTTTAGAAATGATGCTTACAGATAACATTTGATAGCAGCATCCATTTATTTGTCTTGCCATATATTTTTTATATTTGCTATATTATTATTTTTTAAAAATAATTCATGGTGTTAACACTTGGTAGAAGCATTAGAAAAGTGATATGGACAAAAAGGTGAAGTTTGAAACTAGTAGTGTTTCTGGTGCCTTTGGGGAGGGAAAAAAAAAAAAAAAATTAGATGAAACTTATTAGACTTACTAGACTTAGCAGTTGCATCAGGGAAGAAGCCAAACCAAACTAATGATGCTAATTGCTGAAAAAATAGCCTGAATAAAATAAATGAAAGTGAAGTAGTTTGGCTTTAATGAAAAACAGCCGCAAAATTTTCTGAGGGACAGCTTAAAAGCCACATAATTTCAAGAATGCTAAATGAAGATGTTATAACTGAAGTGTGGATAGGACCCAAGCATCAGTTAATTAACAGATGACAAAATCATTGATATACGTAAAATTACAAATTATTTATACAATTAAAATTATAAACAAAATTATTGGTATGATTTTAATTATACCAACGATTTTGTCATCTATCATTGCATTTAAAAATGCAGAAAATATCACAATGTAATGAAGAAATTGATAAAAAGAGGTTGTTAAGAATGAAAAGATTTCAGTTGGCTATTTAACGGGAGCTCTCTAGACATCTAAAATGTGCTGTTGTCTTGTACATGAATTTCATGGAAGAATGGTTGCAAGAGCCTTAAGGAGGTTAGACTTCTATTTCCACCCCAATTTTGGGTGAGAGCACACCAGGGACTGGTCCAAGGATACATTTACAAACATCCATGCCTTCCCCAGGATTCAAACCTGGGCCCTTCTTTACCACAGTAGGCTCCCCTAACCACTATACCATCTGGGTGGCACATCTAAGACATAAACTGAACAATAGAACTTTATAACTGAACAAGAAATAGTCTTTCTAATATTAAGGGTAAAGTATTGGGGAAAAAAATGAAAAATTTGTGATTTCTGTATGTCATTTTATTATATTCAAGTTAGTGATCTGCCATACCTTTGTAAACATTTCCTGTATTTTTGTTTCTTTCATTTATTTATGTAGCACATAAAATAATTTATTTACAAGCATCATTATAAGTTTTCTTTCTTTAGTTTGACGTGCTTGTCATATATTAATTTTTATATTGATTCTTCAGGATTTAACTGTTTTATATGTATTTTTCTTGTGTCTCTTTTTCAGAAAATGTGTTCCTTTTATGACATACTATTCATTTTACTGCAAACATTGTAACTCATCCGGAGTGGAAACATTTTCAAAGAAGCAACCTAGTAAGTTATAAAATAGGAAAACATATTTTCAGCATATGATAGAAATGTGGTACTAATATGTTTGTTTTGAAACATAATTTAATGAACTAATTTCTTAACTATTAAAATAATGTATCTATCATCAGTAAATTTTGTTATGCAGCATTCTATAAATTAATAGGAGCTGTATAATTTAAATGTATTAATTGACTTAAATTCTGAATATTGTTTCATGAATTATTGAAGAATTTAAATGAACTGATTTTTCTGTATTTCTTACTTTGAAGTAGTTTAAAAATATAATGAATAAATGGAAGTTTCTTCTGCAAAAGGGCAATTAACTTTAGAGGAGGACTTTTTTATCGTAAAATTTTGATACACAAATTTCTGCATGAGTTAATTTTAGTAAAGAAAATGTCACCTATTAAGATGAGAATTTTATTGTAATATTACAAGATAAAATTATTTTAAGATTTAAGTAAAAGTATTGATAAACTTCCAGAAAGGTTGAGGGATAATGTTATTTTGCTTTCCGAAAATAAAGAGGAAAAATAAGATGCTGCTAAATGAAATAGATATAGTCTGTTATAATTAATTATGTAACTGTGTATTTGGGAGACATCTTAAAGAACAAATCTTCAGTTAAATAAAATACATTTTTTTGGGGCGGGAAGCATATTTGAAGTTTTTTTTTGGGGGGGGGATACTGATTAAACTGGATATAGAGACATAAGTTTTGGGAGTGAAAAAACTCAAGAAACATATTTGCCATCACAGAATTAAATCCGGCTGTTCAGATTATTGTATGGCAAGAGCACTTTTTTAATTCCTTTAATTCCTTTTTTTGGAGAAATAACTCTCCAACTTAAAGGCTTGAAAAATGTAAAGCTAGATTAATTGCATGTTAATCATATATTTAGTAAATCTACAGAAATCTAAAGAGTGCTTTTTAAGCTTTCATCTTTACAATGATTTTTTTTTTAAACCAGTTCATCAAAAAGTGATAATACATAGAAAAGAAGTAGAAAATAAAATGTGTTGCTTAATTATGATTGCACTTCAAGCATCTCAAATTGAGTCTCTCAGGTGGGTCAAATGGTCATCTATTTCCTTTCCCAACACATGGTGTCTTTTTTCTGCAACGAGTCTTTTGATGTCTAGAAACACATTGTTCACTCTAAGTCAAATTAATGAATGTTAATATGGAACTCACTAGGGACTTGTTTCTTTTCATAAGTGAGGAAAGTTTTTTATGATACAAACTCCTAAACATGAAAATCACATATACAAATTTCCATCTTCCTGGAAACCATGTTGCAATCATTTATAAAATTTAGGAATACTCATTTCTCTGAATTTTATTCTAGAGTTGCATTGAATTGCTCTTAATTCTATTTATAAATAGGCTGACACTCAAGGTCAGATGAGTAAATATTTTTGTAAAAAAGCCATCTGAAGAGTAATTTTTTGCATCCTAGTTTCTGTATGTGTCTTGATATTGGATGAGTTTCCAATTTTTATTAGTATATTATTATTATGCATGTTTGTTATTTTCTTGGAGTGAAATGAAGACCGTAGAAAAATGAGTTAGGAATTGCATGTATCTAATAGTCCGTGAATTGACATCCCTGCTGCACTTCATACAGGAAACTATTAAATTCTAGTTTTATTGACTATTGAAACTATAGTCTGTTACCTCCATTAAGTGTCTGTATGATCTTATGTACTGATAATCATTACTGATAGGCCCTGGTTTATATCCTGGAAAGATATGTGTGTTTTGTTAGTGTATAATGGCTGTGTGCCAGAGCTCTTTGCTTCTTGAATATAATAGTCCTTGTTTTTGAACTTTTTGTATCAAACCTTCACAGCTAATAGTACCTTCACAGCTAATAGATACATCTAATAGTACCTAAAGCTGCACACATGATTTGGTGACATTCTGTAGCTGACTTTTTGTAATAGAACTGGAAGTAAATGATGGTCCTAATCTGGTAACATGATAGTTCCATTTCAGACACCTTGTACTTAATGATAACCACAATTTTTTACAAATTTTATAACACAGTGTTCTAAAGCAAATCTTTCTTTGAAATGCCAAAAATCTTTTGACAAACTATGATTAACTCCTTGACATAAAACGACGTCCGAGAGATGTCATTCATTTCATGTGCCATTGCAGACTTTGACCTCTCCGAGATGTCAAAAAGTGTCTTCGGCCAATGCTGCACAGTATATTATTATTGTTATATGGCACTGTAAATTGGAAAATAAAACATTCTGTTTCTAAGCTTGCATATGAGTTTCATAGTTGAGACAAATTAAATGGTATTCTTTGGACGTGTCGGCATGTATTTTATTTGTATGTCAAAGGGTTAAACACACCAGTGCAACTGTTTGCAGTGGCAGGAAACTTTCGTTAAAACCCGATAAAATTATAAATAAATGAAGAATTAATTTAGTACATATTTTGTGTTGTCATCTCTGAATGGGGTGATGATGAGGCTAGTAGATCTTTAGATGGATTGCGATAAATCAACATCTTACTTTTCCTCTAAAGACTCATTGACAGATAAAGGGAACATTTGCGATAAGGAGGCTGTATGAGACTTGGAAAGAATTGGCATGTTAAAAGTACTAGGAACATCAATTTGTGAATCATCTTTCTTAAGAAAATAAGTGCTTACACTTTTCTTAACAGATTTTCTTTTGCTTTCATCATAAATGAAATAATAGAGTATTTTCTTTTCAATTCTGAACAAATTTCATGTTTTCAGAAAAGGTTTGTTCATATCTATGAAAGTTTGTAAAGTGGATAGCATCTGTACATATGTAAAGGAAGTTTTAAAAATATCTTCTTTCAAATAAATTTCGGAAAGTTATTCAATTATAAAAAATATATATCCAGCTATCTCAGTTAAAATTATATCATCATTATTATCATTGTAGTTTTTTCATTTGAGGTGAACAGCTACTTAAATATGCCATAATTTAAGCAGTAACATTCTTGAAAAGCAAAACCTTTTGTTACGAAAAGTATAGTCTAATAAATTAGGAGTATCTCCTGAGTTTCGAATACTTGCCTGTGCCACAGAATTACATGAAAATTTCTTCAAAATGATATTTAGCTATGACATGAATGCAAATATTTTGGCTGGTTTAATTATAAGGAGAGTCATTATTTTACTTAAAACTGGCTCCAGACCATAAGTTTAAAGTTTGACTGCTAAATTTAAATATCAGATGTAATAACTGGGTGTTGATAATATCAAAATAATAGATTTAATAATTCATGATGTCAGAAAGCCATGATATATTCATTTCCACTTAATATTAAAAATTCCATGAATAACATCAATAGATCCATAAAAATAGCATACTTCTGGAGGTTTTCTTTGCCAATAAAAATGGAAAAGGTACTAAGAAGGATTTAAGAAATTAAATTTTCTTTTCATAAATTCATAATTTCAATTCGTTCACCTTTTTATTAAGCTTTTAGTAGTGTTATTGATTCTACTACAGGTGTAGATCAGGGAAAGCTGCATGATACTGTGAATTTTGTAAATAGTATAATTATTTACTTATCTATCTTTGGTCTTGTTTGAAAGCATTAAACTTAGTTTAAAGTAATTTTGCTAGTGCATGCATAATTGTTTTGTTCATAACATATTTCAATGTCTTTTTACAAAAGAGCCTCACAAAAATCCCTCAAAATTTTCCCTATCATTTGTCCCTTTTTTTCTCCACTTCATTTTTTGTTTTTATTTCTAATCCTCATATTCTGAACCTGAGGCTAGATGAGATCTACAAATTTTAATATCACCTAGAGATAAGGGTTGTATCTGTTATTGGCTTAGGCCTTAAGCACCTTGTATGTGACATAATGAATGTGCTTGCCTCTGTCCCAGTTTAGAAAAAGAAAGGCTAAGGGTCTCCTTCTCCCTCTCTCCCTGTCTTCAACCTCTAAAGAGGTTGATGTTTGCTTTTCACCTTGAGTACTGTAAGTGCCTATAAAGATTCTGTGCACTTTCAAACATCCATGCCTTCTCTGGAATTCAAACCCAGAAATTTAAATTAGTTAATGATAATTAAAAATTTTATTTTACGTAAATTATGAACAAAAGGTATAAATGGTGCTATGCTGGAATAGATTTGAATCAAATTTTTATTATCCCCTAAGGAAGGAACTTTTTCTTTATAATTTACAATAGCCTTTCTTATTAACAAAAATGAAAAACATTTTCTCCTACAAATTTTTCACTGTGAATAAATAAACTTCATTGTCTATTGCAATTTTAGAGTTGTTTTATTATTTTGAAATCCATACTTTAGATAGGGCTTGCACACACACACATATATAGAAAGAAAAAAGATTCAAACATCATGCTATAAAAAGTAGATTCATACTTTTTAATGTTAAAACTGCAGTTTAACATTTTAATCTAAAATTCGCTATACTGTGTAATTTTATCCATAGAACAGAAATATAAATTATAATTATTAAACAGCATTTTTATATATGAGGGCAATCCCAAAAAAAAGGTCTCCTATATTTTTAGATATACAAAGAACCGTTTATTTTCTATAATTGCTACATCACTTTAAAGATTGAACAGCATAATCGCCATTTCCTATTGTCGAAGTGAAAATGGAGCAAAGAATTAACATTAAATTTTGCTTCAAATTGGGCAAGACAGCTGCGGAAACCTACGAAATGTTAAAACAAGTTTACTGCGAGGAAGCATTGTCCCGCTCAAGAACTTTTGAATGGTTTAAACACTTTCGGGACGGGCGCGAAAGCGTCGAAGATGATCAACACACAGGTTGGCCGCAGTCCGTATGCACGCCGGAAGCAATTGAAAAAGTTCGCGATATGGTGAAATGTGATAGTCGATTGACTATTTGAGTACTCGGCAATGAATTCAACGTGGATAAAGAGATGATTCGGCGAATTTTGACGCAAGACCTATGCAAATGCAAGATTTGTTCCAGATTCGTTCCTCATCATTTAAGGGACGAAT